AGAAAACTGGATATCCACATGCAGAAAAATGAAGGTGGACTCTCATATAATATACAGAAAATTATCTCAAAGTGGGTCAAGGACATAAATGTAGGCAAAGTACAGAATTCTCATAAGAATAAATCTGTATGACCCTGAATCTGGCAATAGTGTCCTAGATATGATACTAAAAGCACAGGCAACAAAAGAAAAATAAAATTAGATTTTATTTAAAAAAATTGTGTATCAAAGGACACTATCAAAAAATTGAAAAGACCAGGTATGGAAAAGAATAAAATTTTTGCAAATCATATATCTGATAAGGGTCTAGTATCCAAAATATATAAAGAACTTAAAATTAAACAACCAGAACAAGAAAAAAAACCTTCAAAAAAAGGGGCAAGGGACCTAATATTTAGAGAAGGTATACTGATAGCCAATAAGCACATAAAAAGGTATTCAACATCATCACTTATTGGGAATATGAAAATCAAAACCAGAAATAGATGCCACTGCACACCCAGTAGGAAGGTTATAATTAAAAGTACAGAATATCAAATGTGTTGACAAGGATGTGGAGAAATGAGAACTCTTTTACACTGCTAATGAGAATGTAAAATGCTGCAGCCACATGGAAAATAGTTTAGCAGTTCCTCAAAATGTTAAACACAGAATTATAATATAACCCGGAAATTCTCAGTAATAATTCTAGATATATACCCCAGAGAACTGAAAACAGAATAGTCTAACAAACATTTGCTTGTACACAAATGTTCAGAGATTATTCAAAATAGCTAAAAATAAAAAGAAACCAAATGTTTATCAACTGATGAAAGGATAAACAAAATGTGGTATATCCCTACAAGAGAATTTTATTCATCTCTAAGAAGTGAATGAAGACCTGATATATGCTACAAAATAGATGAGCCTTGAAAACATTATGCTCAATAAAAGCCAGACACAAAAAAACCCACATATTCTATTATATTTCTATGAAATGTTCAGAATAGGCAAATCCATAGGGACAGAAAGCAAAAGAGTGGTTGCCAGGGGTTGAGGAGACAGGAAGAATGAGAATGAGTGCTTGATGGGTAAGAGGTTTCTTTTTCCTATGTTGAAAATGTTCTGGAATTAGATAGTGGTGATGGTTGCACAACATTGTTAATATACTGGAAGCCACTGAATTCTACACTTCAAAATGGTTACAATGGCAAATTTTATGTTATATAAATTTTACCTGAATTTTAAAAACTGAAACTATATGAGATCCCAGTTCACACCCAGTGAATAACAACACTGTGCTTCATACATTATTGGAAGGAGAATGAAAAACGTTAATAGTTTCTTATACTGTTAAATATTATGTTACCATATGATTCAGCAATTCTAAAGAAGTAAAAATACATGCCCAAAAAAACCTTGTGTATGAATGTTCATAGCAGCATTATCCATAACAGCCAGAAAAATAGAAACAAGCCAAGTGTCCATTAACAGGTGAATGGATAAACTGTGGTATATTCGCACAATGAACTACTACTCAGCAATAAAAAAGAATGAACTACTGATACATGTAAAGCATAAATGATCACAAAAAGATTACATTATGAAAAATAATTACAACCCAAAATGTACAAATTATATGATTCCACTTATATTATGCTGAAATATGGAGAAAACCATTCTATGATAATAAAAATCAGAAGACTGGTTACTTCTGGTGGGAGGAGGGAGACTGGAAAGAATGAGGCATCCTTCTAAGATGACAAAATGTTCTGTATTTTCATTTTAGTGGTAACTACATGGATATACATATTTATTAGAATACATAAATTCATATTTAGATACATAACGTTTAAAATGTACTTTATTGCATGTGGATTATAAATGTTTGAAATTTTATACATTAAGACTTCGAGTATAACAGTAAACGAGCTTCACTGGGCATAGTACATTGTTGGTGCTCAATCAAAACAGGAGGAAAGCAGGAAATGAGGCAGGTAGGTAGATTATTTTATAGTCATGGCCAAGTATGTGTCTCATACCACCCTAAAGGAATTTACAATTTAGTTCAGTATGTAAGATATAACCTCTCAACTGGTTCATTATCTGTAACAGCTGATGGAGCTGCCAAGTAGCCTCTGAATTATGTTGCTTCGTGGCATCCATTACCATATATTCCCAAATTCTGAATCCTCCTGTCTTGCCTTTTTTTTTTTTTTTGGAGACAAGGTTTCACTCTGGACTATAGTGGCCAATCATAGCTCACTGCAGCCTAGACCCCTGGGCTCAAGTGATCCTCCCACCTCAGCCTCCCGAGTAGCTGGGACCACTGGTGTGCACTACTCTAACGGGGTTAATTTTTTCATTTTCTGTAGAGACAGGGTCTCCCTATGTTGCCCAAGCTGGTCTCAAACTCCTGGACTCAAGTGATCCTCCCACCATGGCCTCCAAAAGTGCTGGTATTACAGGCGTGAGCCACCTAGCCCGGCCTCTCCATTTTTGATCCTTCATTTAGGATGTGTTCACGGCCTGATAATGCTGAATTTACCCTGGTTTCCCAGCCCACATGCACCTGAGACATTAACTTCAGTGCCACAGTCACTAACCAATCCTATCCTTGCATACACTTAGCCTGCAAAACTAAGAATCTAACCTTATATATAACCTTAAGCCCTCCAATTCACCAGGATAGTGAGACTATGAAATGTGCAAATTAAATAATAAAAATAGACCAGAACACATTTCAGAAAACAACATATTAATAGTTGGCAAATGAATCAAACAGGAATGATTATTATTCAAGACCCAAATGAGCAGGAGATAAAGGCTGAATCTAAACTAGGTTTGCTATGGACAGGAAAAAATACTTGCTAAGCCAGGTGAAGAGGCTTAGGCAAAATAAAGAAAAAAAGTGGTAAGTATTATAAAATTAATTTGTCTAGATTCTAGAATAAAAAATTTATATTTGGATATGTGTGAGGTAATCTGAAAGATCAGATTTAGATCTCTGATAATCACAGAAAGTTGTGGAGTAGACTAAACAATATTATCTTCATTTCTAGATAAGGAAATACTAGCATAGAAAGGTTAACTTTTTTTTTCTTTTTGAGATGGAGTTTCGCTCTGTCGCCCAGGCTGGAGTGCAATGGCGCGATCTCAGCTCACTGCAACCTCCGCCTTCTGGGTTCAAGTGATTTTCCTGCCTCAGCCTCCTGAGTAGCTGGGGTTACAGGCGCACACCACCATGCCCAGCTAATTTTTGTATTGTTAGTAGAGCTGGGGTTTCACCATGTTAGCCAGGCTGGTCTCCATCTCCTGGCCTTGTGATCCGCCACCTCGGCCTCCCAAAGTGCTGGGATTACAGGCTTGAGCCACTATGCCCTGCCAGAAAGGTTAACATTTGCTCAAGGTCATAAAACTAGTTAGGGATAGGGCAGGTAATTAATAAAATTCATTTCTCTTAATTCACAGCCACATATTCATTTAATTAGATCATGATTCTGCTCAATGTTCTCCAATTTTGCCTAATATAACTCTCGAACAAAGTTTCTCACCATAAATAACCCCGCCCCCATTCACTTCTTGAATGTCTACCCTTCCTCTGAAGGAATGTTTTCAAGCATATTTTCAAGATCTACTTTAAGACAAACCCCATCCTCTTACCAACAGACCTGACCACTGGACAATAAAAAGGAGGTTTCTATCCTTACTGACTATAGCCACGTCCTTTCTGTGGCTACTAAAAGATTTAGGTTCCAGTAATATTTTTAAAAACTAACCTCGGATAATAGATTAGAAAATTACTAACTATCAGTAAAGCAGACTTCCTGTTTATTTATTGCTCGGAATTACCACCTTCAGTGCAGTCAAGGGTGAGTCTAACAGCATAGGGTGCAACTATGTTACTGTCCTTCCTCTTCACAGTAAATAAGACACGCAACTCATCTTTCACAAGAACATAAAATGGACTTCCTTTTTTGAAAAAATGTTCCTCAATAGAAGCATGCTTAAATCTTTCCCACATCCTCTAAACCTTCCAAAGATCAAGTCTTCCCTCCATTATACTTTCCTAAAATAATTTTTTTTTTTGAAAGAGTACACTCAACCTGTCTGAACTTCAAGCTGATCATTTTTATCTAGTACTGTACTCATCTCCGCCACCCACTCAAATTACCCTTAAGGAAACCAATGATACCTGAAACGCCAAAATCAAATACTTATTTTTCAAGTCTTAATCTTACCTGTCCTGGGGATGAAGGAACTGGTGCAGCGCTCACTAGGATATAATTACAGAGCTCCAGGTACTGTACTAAGCATTCAAAAATGTTCATTTAACCTTCACAACATCCCTGAGAAGTATTACCCCCTTTTAACAGATTAATATTGGGGCTCAAAATTACCCAGAGGCCAAGTAGTGAAGCCCATATGATTCTAATGTTTGCAGTCTCTTCCCAATTCTGTGGCATTTCCTCCATCTCTTTCACTATTTCATCAACCACGCTTTTAATCAGTTCTCTCATTCCACCTGCTCTCCTTGACAATTTCATTTCCTCCCAAAGCTTTAACTACATTATATATTAGTGCTTCCCAACTTTTTAAATCTTTGTTAATATAAACATTTTGTGCTCTCTGTAGCTTATATTTTGAAAATAAGTTCCCATAGAAATTACAATATTGAATATGTTTACTTAAACCACACTTCCTTCCACCACTCAAGATCTGTTAACCTTTAATGAACTGCTCCATGATTAAAATCAACAGATCTTGAGGTAGAAATATTTTATTGGAGAGATATCAAATCACTCTATTTCCTCTTCCCATGTCCACTTTTCCTAGACATTTCTCTCGAGTCATAAACATCTTCAACTGTCTAATAAGCATAGTTCCATGATTGTCGCCCCAGGGCCTTCAACATAAACCTGTCTAAAACCAAACTCTCATTTCCCTTAGTAAACGTGTTCTCTGCGTTCTCCAGCTAATATTGTCACAACCCACCCTTGTCTATTCTTTGAGGTACCTACCTGAAAAACTGTAACGTTGACACTCTGACTTCCTTGAGCTACCAGGTAAAAAATCCAACCATTACAGGAGTGCCTATTATGGCCTGGAGTAGAGGAACGCAAAATAGTTCAAAACATCCTCTTCCTCCCAAAGAAACAGATTTTTTTTTGGTGAGGCATGTTCCAACTTATAAAATTAAAATATATTCACAACATTTTAATTTGATCTTTAATCTGTTTTACAGAAAAAAAAATGAGATGTTACTTTCCACTCCTTCATTGTTGAAATAAAGTTACACACAACTAAACGAAAACAGTTCTGTATGCAATAAAAGTCAACAGGGCAGCGCAAATAGCCAACTACCCAAGGACACAAAGTGACCTGGACGCGTTCTGGGGTGTCGCTGCCGTCACGACCGGGGGCCGCCTGGCCGGACCCTCCCTCCGACGTCCCCCGGGACCGCTCTCTCTCCCGCAAGTCGCTCTGCGGCCTGTCCTCAGCCGGCGGGGTCGGCAGTGACCGCGGGAAAACCCCGCTGCCGCCACCGCCCGGCTCCGGCCCCGGCCAGAGCTGAGTCCGGGATCGGCCGAAGCCCCTCGCCTTCAGCCTCCTAGACGTCCGACCAGTGGAAAATTAGCATACCTGCGGGAGAAAGCAGCTGGAAGGCCGGCGGTCCTGGCAAACCTAGAAGGCGGAAATAACCCTGGTGATGGGCGGGGCAGGGCTCCAGCGCTAACTGCATCCACTAGGTTTGGTCAACACAGAGCCGCGCCAACTCTCTGTGGCTGCGCCAAGACCTGAAGCGGCGGACTGAGAGCCGGGGTCAGAGGCTGAGAGGGCATCGGAATGGGAGCGGGGCAGAAGGAAACACATATCCTGCGGAGACGGAGCGAGGGGCCACAAGGACAGCGGCGTGAGGGGGCGGGGCGCGCGGCGCGAGAAGGCGGGCACGAGGGGCGAGCGCGAGGCGGGGCACGCCGCGCGGCGTGAGACGGGGCGGGGCGCGCGTATCGGCGCCGCGGCCGCGTGACGCGTTTTCAAATCTTCAACCGCCGCAACCCACTCGTTTGTGCTTTGCGCCTTCCTCCTCCGCGCTTTGGAGCCGGATCCGGCCCCGGAAACCCGACCCGCAGACGCGGTACCTCTGCTGCGTGGAGGCCGTAGCCGGCGGAAGGAGAGAGGCGGCCGTCCTGTCAACAGGCCTGGGGAGGCCGTGCTTTCGTGGCCGCCCGGCGCGACACTCTCCGGACCCAGCATGTAGGTACCGGGCGACTGCCATGAACTCCGGAGCCATGAGGATCCACAGTAAAGGGCATTTCCAGGGTAAGAAGCCCCTCCTCCGCCTGCAGTCCCTTTAATCCTTTCCTCCCCTCGTGGTTCCACCATTGATTCTTCAGACTTCTCCCGCCGGTTCCTCAGCTTTTTTTTTTCTGACCGCCCTCCTCTGGGGTCTGAAGGAAGGGGCTCTATTCAGTGTTTTGTCTAAGAAGGAACGGATTCCGGCCCGGCCCCTCCAGCGCTCTGCCCTTTACAGCGGCGGTCCCAGATTCATTCCCGGTCGTGCCTTCGGTTGAAAACTAGCAAACAATGTGCAGATCCGGGACCTCGCTGGGGCTGCCGTGCTCTCTTCTGCCGGGCTTCCGCAGATGCTGCGCCTTCGCCCGGGCCCTTGGAGGCGACGGACAGCATCCTCAGTTTAAAGTCAGACACCCTCGTCGCTTTTCGCTTCAGTATTACATTGAGTGATTGTGGGTGGATTTTTGGTCTTAACCCTTGAAAGTTTATTTTCCCTTCCTCATAAGTTGGGGGAAAGCATTTATATTTCAAACATCCCATTGCTGGTTTCATCATTACAAACAGGGAAACAAAAGCACGTTTCCATTTTCAATCACTTTATTTGGTGAAACATTCCACCACCTAAGTTTTTTGTACAGGTATTTGTGTATGTGTAGTAATTACCAATTTAAGAACAGGTTGCGTTTGAAAAATTAATTTTTAAAGCAGTTGCTCGGATCTCAGATCTGTTTTTAATGAAAATAATGAAATGAAAGGTTTAGTTCTTCATAATGGACCGTTAAATTCCTAATACATAGACAAATTGTATGTGAAATGGACCATTTAGTTGTTAACATGCAGACAAACTTTATATGAAACTAAAACTTGAGCAGTCTGAAACCCTTGACTAGGTTATTCTGGGTAACAGGATTCTTTCATCGCTAAATGAAGTTTAAACAGCAGTTTTGAATGTTCAGCAGAATGGCAGATGCTCAATAAGTAGTTGAGTATTAAATACCCCCATGGAGTTTACATCCTAAAGAAGAAAATCTTTCAAAAGAGTTTTATATAGTTCCGTGCCTCAGGAATAAATACAAGAATATTTCTTGCTGAGTCAACTATTATTTTACAATATGCGGTCTGTGAAAATATATAGAGCATTTTGCCTCTATCCTAAGTAGTGCTACAAAGAAATACATTTCAGTGCTAATAACTTAAACTGGTAGGATTGTAAGGATTTTTATTTTGTAATATTGTATAATGAAATGTTTTAAAAATAGTACAAGTGTCTGTGTAAAACATCTGATTCTAAACATCTTTAATAGCAGGTGGAATCCAAGTCAAAAATGAAAAAAACAGACCATCTTTGAAATCTCTGAAAACTGATAACAGGCCAGAAAAATCCAAGTATAAGCCACTTTGGGGAAAAGTATTTTACCTTGACTTACCTTCTGTCACCATATCTGAAAAACTGCAAAAGGACATTAAGGATCTGGGAGGGGTAAGTGAAAACCCTAAACTGGCATAGAAGGAAAAATTTGTAACTACTACTTTCTACTATGTAATCATTTAAATTTTTCATTTTGGAAAAGTTAAACCCTTCTGTTAGCACCAAGATTAACATTATTATCAGCTGTTTATCATTAATGAAAAACCATTTGTTTTAACCTTTTGTGGACTGGCAAAACTTTCAGGTTTCTCCGATTAGCAGTCTAGTATAAAGTTCCCAGCGTATAAGACTCCCCAGTCCTAGTGGAACTGCTCATTGACTGCTCACTGTAATGTTGGAATGTCCTCCAGATGACAGCAGTTTCTTGATTATGAATCTTGGGGAGCTACGTAAGTTTGTATGGACTAGTGTAACAGTTAAGAATGTTATTACAGAACACCCATGCAAACCACCAGTTAAAATTGTTCCTGAGCGGTACAGATGCTGTTTCAACAGAATGAATGTTATTAAAGGAATAGAAATTTGCATTAAGAATCTGGAGATACTTTCCTACCTTGTACACTGATTAGATGATTGGGAAATTAGAAATCTCAGGCAAAGGCCGGGCACAGTAACTCACGCCTGTAATCCCAGCACTTTGGGAGGCCGAGGCAGGCGGATCACAAGGTCAGGAGGTCGAGACCATCCTGGCTAACACGATGAAACTCCATCTCTACTAAAAATACCAAAAAAAAAAAAAAAATTAGCTGGGCGCGGTGGCGGGCGCCTATAGTCCCAGCTACTTCGGAGGCTGAGGCAGGAGAATGGCGTGAACCCAGGAGGCGGAGCTTGCAGTGAGCTAAGATCAGCCCCACTGCACTCCAGCCTGGGCAACAGAGTGAGACTCTGTCTCAAAAAAAAAAGAAAAGAAAGCTCAGGCAAAATTCTAGGATCTTAATAGGATTAAGGTTAATATTGGATGAGTTTTAGCAAATGAGGTGATAAAGGTTTTTTCTGTTTTAAAGGGTCATACTGGACTTTGACTTTCTGAAGGTCTGCATCTTTGAGTGTCTAAACTGATCCTTTCATTCCCAGACTGGTAACTTTTCATTTTATTTTTATTTTGAGACGGAGTCTCGTTCTATATGGCCTGGGTTGGAGTACAGTGGTGCAATCTCGGCTCACTGCAACCTCCGCCTCCCAGGTTCAAGTGATTCTTATGCCTCAGCCTCCACCTCCTGAGTAGCTACAATTACAGGCATGTGCCACCACTCCTGGGTAATTTTTGTATTTTTAGTGGAGTTAGGGTTTCACCATGTTGCCCAGGCTAGTCTCAAACTTCTGACCTCAGGTGATTTGCCCACCTCAGCCTTCTAAAGTGCTGGGATTTACAGGCATGAGCCCTCCAGGCCCTGCCAATTCCCAAACTAGAAACTTACCAGAAGAACATGTGCTAACAAGTTTCCTGGAACTGTTCGTTAATATGATATTTTATTTACCTATCTGAAAAGTTACTCTACTTTTTTACTATTCATTTTGTTAAACTAAAACACTGTGACATGCTTGTAATAGTAGTATTTATCGTAATGATCATACGACAGCATTCTTAAAGGTCATGTTTACTAGGCCAGCCACCCTATTGACTGTGTATCTATTTAGCGTATCTTAATGTGTTAAGGACCTTAGACATTGAGTAAAAAAAGACCCCTTCACCTTAGAAGCAAAGTACTTGAGGTCCAGAGAAAGTAAATGGCCCAATTAGAGCAGTATTAGCTTCTTAATTCCAACAGCAACATAGTTCCTGCACCATTCTTTTCCTCTAGCAATCAGTGGCTACAAATGGCTATCTGGCTGTTAATTCACACCTGTAATCCTAGCACTTTGGGAGGCCGAGGCAGGTAGATCGCTTGAGGCCAGGAGTTCAAGACCAGCCTTTGCAACATGGCAAAACTCCATGTCTACTAAAAAATACAAAAATTAGCCAAGAATGGTGGCGCATACTTGTAGTCCCAGCTACTTGGGAGGCCGAGGCATGAGAATCGCTTGAACCTGGGAGGTGGAGGTTGCAGTGAGCCAAGATTGTGCCACTGCACCCCAGCCTGGGTGACAGAGTGAGACCCTCCAAAAAAAAAAGTAGCTCAAAGTAGCTATCTGATGTGATTTGATGACAGCTTTCTCAAATACGATGAACAACCCATTAACTCTAGGTCTAATGGTCTAGATCAGTGATATTTAGATTTGCGTTTTTATCAGTAGAGCCCTTTGAACAAAATAATATTCAGAAGTCTAACGTGTAAAGCCTATAAAAAGGGAACTCCTTAGGCTAAAACAACAGTACAGAGGCTAAAGCAAGAACCACTTGCCCTGTCACCTTTCTTTCTCCTATCTCCACAGCAGTTCCTGAGGTAATTGCAAGAAACACATTTTGAATTACTTCTGCCATACATTAATAGTTGAGGGAGCTTTTGGTTTTACATACTTAGTCTTACCCTGAAATGACTGAAGTAGACCAGTGAAGTTAGGAGCTTATTAAGGGTGTGAGTTTCCATATTTTCCTTTGGATTTCCCAAAAATCCAAAGCTATGGATTTTCAACTGAATTTGATTTATTAACTTTCTTCTAAAAAAAAAAAAGTTTTATTTATTGAATTCTGATCTTCCCATACTATCTTTTCTATAATTAATGACATTTAATTCTCGGGTCTTGGTTTCTTTCTTCAGCACATTTACTATTTCT